AAACACTGATTGAACATGTTCAGTCGGGTGAAAACAAACCCCGACAAACGCCATTAGGGGTAACACACAGATCCGACAAAACCCAACAAACGTGTTTGTTAGCGTTTGTCTGTGCAGTGGGAATAGGCTATAAGATATAGACATTAGGCATAAAAAAACAAAAAAATTAACTACGATCAGAGACAAAAAAAAAGTTTCTCAACATCTGTCAGAACAGCAGCTCTCAAACTAAGGGACGAGGGATGAGCTGACAGTGACTCTTAATAGCTTTTGTAGTTGGTTTCTCGAAAGCTGAGCACATGACCTCACCCTCCCCCATCGGTTTGCTATCTTCAGTTACTCACTTAAGCTCCGCCCCATGACTATGCACATGCAAGTGTGCATTTGCGTTGTCACGTTTATGTATATTCAAGTGTGCGTGCATATGATGGATTTGTATGAGGTAAAAATTGACCTGATGTTGTCACATGCAGTGTTAGATGGGGAAGGGGGGTCCTGTGTTTGCAGACTCCGTTCTGCAGAACAAAAGAAGGGAGAGAGAGAGAGCATATGAGCCACGTTGCAGCCACGCTCTTCCTCATAAACAAGCCTGCAGTGAAAGATATTCCGTGACTCCAGTTTGAGGCATTTGGAAACTCGGCCTATTCAAGCACAGCTGTAAATCTCACTGGGTCTCTGGTTTGACGTGGTGCTGAAAAAGAGGAAGTCTTGTACTGCAGTTTATATTTGTGTGGAGACAGAAAGCTCAACCTACAACATTTATTTCCTTTGACTGCCACTGCTTGTTAATAGTTCGGGCTTGATTAAACCCATTCTGTGATGTCATCAACGTCAAATGTAAACTTTTTTCACTTAGGAGGTTGTCAGAAAGATTTTTAAAAAGAACATCGATCCTGGCTCACTTAGTTCCCTAGTGTAAATTAAACACCAAAAAAACAATGATTAATTATTTAGGTTTTTATTGATGTAGACTAATGATTATTTATATTACAAATACACACACAGTTCAAAAGTTTGAGGTCAGTAACATTTTATATAGAAAGGGAGCATTAAATTGAACAACACTTACAGTAAAGACATTTATTATATTACAAAAGATTTCTATTCATTAAAGAATACAGGGAAAAAAGTATAATTTTTCAAAATTGTAATAATATTTGCCAGTTTCAACTGTATTTTTTAATCAAAGAAATGCAGCCTTGGTGAGCATAAGAGACTTCTTAAAACATTAAACTCTTTCCAACCCCAAACTTTTGAATAACAGTGTATAAAAAAAAACTATATTTGCCAATCTTTAAATTTAAACAGAATATATGAATTAGGTTGGAATTAGCATTTTATAATTGCAACTGAGCTAGATAGCCAATAAGAGCAGCCTTTTCATGTTGCTAATAACTCTTTTTGTCCTAATAGTTTTGAGCGACATGAGGATGAATAGATGACAGGATTTTCCATTTAAAGCAAATGATCTGCAGATGGTGCTGACCAAAGAATACTTGTTGAATCAGCTACATTGGAATTGCAGTGGTTTGTACAAAAACAAATAAGTCTTTTAGCATACGTAGTAGGAATCATGTGATCCTGCCCACAAGGACAAGCCACTAGTTTCTGCAAAGCATGATATAGATGACCAACTGACCCACGTCGGCCTTACTCTACACACTGCTACACAAAGGCAGGAAATGAATCAGGTGGATTTCACAGGATTCCTTCTGGTTTTGCACATCCTGATAATATGTCCAATCACAATCCTGCTGATCGTGACACATCAGGGTTGACGCAAACATAAATCTGCGTCATAAAGCTCACTGATACTTACAACTGACCTTTGTAGATTTCACAATCCACCACAAAGATGCAAAAATAAGTAAAAAAAAACAATTTCTCAATATTATTATCAAGCTGAAACAATACATCAGTCGCACAGTCAGCACTGAAACACAATGCACTGCAACCTGCTTCGCAAAAACAGGTCCTGCAAGGTTCCTTAAATAAAAGGCAGCACCTAATGCGGGGGTTTCAGGGATGTGGCTAAACTAAGATGGAGCTCTACGAGTGTGCCGTGCTGCGGCAGGAACAGCGACTGGAGGGGTGACGTCACGAGGCTCTGTCTAGCCATGTGCTCGCTACTCATGTGGCCGTGGCAGGGAACATGAGGGAGAGACTGGGGGAAGGAGGAAAAAAGCACAGAAGGAGGGAGAAACGGAGGAGGAGCTCTGAGCTAAATGACATGGAGAGAACGGCAGGGAAACTCCTGAGACTTATCAGGACTGTAGGATAACATTTAAAGAAACAGTCACCATAATCTGTTCACTGTCTGGACTACGTTATTATGAGATATAAAATGAGACTAGTGTAGCATGGAAAATTAATATATAGCTGCACATTGCAAAACAACAATATGAAGAATGAGTCAAAACCACAAGGACTGCCGAGTGACTACTTCCTCAAGACTTTCCATGACAAACAAATTTCTCTGAATATTTTCAGAGAAATGAAACAAACTTTTTTCACCCGCCATTTTTCATTCTAATGTTTAAATGTTATATTTATATTTTATTTCATCTCTATTTCAATGACCAAAAACAATTGTAATAGTTTTAGAGCGATACGGTTCCATTTGTTAACATTATTACATTGCAAAATACTAGTTAATTGGAACATTTACTATAACTAAAAACTAAAGTTGTATTTGTTAATATTATTTAAAGGATGTAGTATAGCTTTTATTTTTATATTTTCATCCTATAGTGCAATATTGTTCCATTTGTTAACATTAGTTAACATTAATATTTGCAATGTTAATTTCAACAATTACTAGAACATTACTAAAATATAAAGCAGTATCTGTTAATATTATTTAAAGGATCTGAGCTAACATGAACTAACAATTCACAGTTGTGTTTTTATTAACAACGATTAATGAATACTGTAACAATCGTATTGCACATTGTTAGTTAATGGATTATCTAACGTCAACTAATGGGACCTTATTTTAAAGTGTTACCATTTTAATTAACAAGAACGACACTGGTATGTTACCGTCTGGCCTAAACACAGATTGTCGCAATTTGTCCCGCGATTAACGAATCATTATAATTTTTTTTCACTTTGAACGTCAAAAAACATATCGGGCACGACGTCACAAGAATATGTCAATCAGGTGCCAAGAAGAGAAATAAAATAAAGAGTAATCTCATCAAACAATCCTTTTACTCGGTTCCAGGAGAAGCTGATTGGTCGCTGAGGGGAGAGTGGGTGGGGCCTCCGCCCATGGCCCACGGCCGGCTTGGACACACACTGTGTCACTGCCACCTCCAGAGACCATCGCAAAACACACTTACACACAAACACAACACTAATCATTAAAAGAGAAGCCCCGTGATCTGCAGGCACACACTAATCTTTTAGCAGGAACACAGAACAAAAAAACAGAAAGGGAGACGGTGAGATACTGGCTGGGAAACAGCTCATATCACCGACTGACCAGCTAAAAAATAGACGTGAACTTCTCACAAGCCTGTTGTCCAGGAAAAATATTCAAAGACATTCAAATTATTCAGTGTCACCAATAATAAAACATCCAGAATGACTAACTAAACAAAATGTTACGTTGCTTTTTTTGTCGCACTGAAAATACTGACAACACACTCCTGAAAGGTCCTCTCAAATAGAAAGTTGGGAAGTCTAATTAATTGAAGTTAATTGGTTTGTTCAGAGTCAGACAGTAAATGGACTGTGAATGTAAACAAACTGGTAAAAAAAAAAAAAAAAAAGACAATGATTCTTCCACCTCCTGCTAAATATTGTTATTAAATTATAATTGACTGCTTATTCATTGTTTAATTAAGTAGTTCAATTAATAATATCTTTTATTATTTAACAAATTAATTATCGTTTAAATTAATTTGTGTTTCAACACTGTTACGCAAATTGACACACATTTGTTTTCTGTACTAGACAAACATTTCTCAGGTTGTAAAACCACATTTAGTTGAATAAATGTGTTTTATTCATATACATCACATTACATTTATGTGAACAGATGTATACATAAATGTATTTTTAAATGATGTAGTCACTATAATTGACTTTGTAGTTTAAAAATACATTTATGATCTAGCCTTAAACAGCTTCAATGTAGTTAACTGTTTTATAAGTAACATATAGTGTACCTAAGTACTTCTTTATCCAGTAGCATGTAAATCTACAGTTTTAAACTAGATCTCAAGATGAATTACATTTAATCACAAAATATGATTTTCCAAATACAATATACCATATATTCAAAAAACTTCAACCTCCCAGAATACTGAACACATCCTGCAGAAATCCTAGCAAATGGCTGGTTGTTTTCAACAGGCCATGTGCTTTAAATAAATACACCTTAAGCCTGGTTGAGCAACAGGCAGCAGAAAGCGGGAAAAGCGATAATGGTTCGGCTGGTCGGTCTGTCAAATCTACCAATGGCTAGAAGCAAGCGGTTTAAGGGAGGGAGGGGGATCCAGTGACACGACTTCTGTTTCCACACTGCCCTAGTTTCCTGCTCGCCTTGTGCCTCGGCTAAATCAAATCCTTTGATTTGATTGGATTTCTTCTTCTCCTAAAGGGTCTGCCTATAGGCGAGCACATGTGTGAATGAGGCGCTGGTTTAATCAGATAGAGCAAAGCTTATGATCTCGGTTTACATGAACCAAATGAAGCGATGGTTAACGGAAGGTGCTCTGCTCACACACACAGCAGGAGAGAAGCAATCCATGTAATCTCGAGCTTAAGATCAATCAAAGAAGCACGGGAAATATCTCATTTTCAATCTTTAGACAAAACCACTGCAACTAACAAACTCAAGAATGCCTCATCGGGTGGTATTCCCTTCTGCTCGAGCATTGTTTACATGTGTAAATATACACCTTAAGTCAAGGTCAGATGACGTGGGAAGAGATGTAGACGCACAGCAGCAGACAGTGAACATCTATCACCAGAGACCGTGTTGAACTTACCTGAATGTATCTCAAAGCACTTCTCAGAACGCTCAGATTGGAGGTCTTCTTTTCATCAACATTTGGGATGTTCTTCTTCAGAGTCTCAAAACACTCCTTTAAGTGTGCACGTCTGAGAAAAGAAGATCATTTAGAATTAGAGAAGTTATAATCGACAAGGGTTATTCCTAGTGTCAGCATTCACTTATTATTGATGATTTTAATATTTTTATATAACTATAAAAGGCCAATAGCAAAACCTGTTTTTGATTAATTTGTATATCAATTAATGGCAGACTTGTTTGAAACATCTTTATTTTTGGCACAGAAATTATACAAGCGTTCAAAAATTTGGGGTCAGTAAGTGTTTTTGTTTTGTTTTTTAAAGAAAAGTATTCTTTAATTCAGCGAGGACACATTCAATTGATCAAAAGTGAAAAAAAAAGGACTATTTCAAATAAATGCTGTTCTTTGAAACTTTCTATTAATCAAAAAATCCTGAAAACAAACATCACGGTTTCAACAAAAATATTAAGCTGCACAACTGTTTTCAACTGATAATAATATTAAGAACCAAATCAGCATATTAGAATGATAGATTATCATGTGACACTAAAGACCGGAGTAATGATGCTGAAAATTCAGCTTTGCAGCACATGAATAAATTACATTTTAAAATAGAAAACAGTTATTTTAAATTATAATAACATTTCACAACATTACTGTTTTTACTGTGTTTTTGATTAAATAAATGCAGCCTTGAGCACAAGAGACTTCTTCAAAAGCATTTAAAAATCTTACCCTCCCAAAAATTTGAATGGTAGTGTACACCTTCCATCACCTTCTATGTAGAAAAGCATTGGGTGAAAGTCATTTAATAGAGGTAAACCAAAAGCAAACAAAGATGAACTTACCTGTTTTTTTCAAGCTTATTGTGCACTTCTCTCGTTCCTGCCCTGTAAACACGTCATATACACGTCTTTAATAGTTAGCTCCCAAACATAATACAAACTCACAGCCATAAAACCCGCAATAAAGTTCTCATGTGATTCAGTCTTAAACCCTGGTCAACATGGTCATAAATGACAGCTTCACCCCCTCACTCACCCGCCAGGTCTTTTCTTGCCATCCAAACTACGGTGGTCATCGGACGGGCTGAGTTGTGCTGAAGAAGGTCCAGGCTGGGGGAGAAGTGCATGCTGGGAGGTCCCGATGATGGAGTCCGGGAAGGTTTGGAGCTGCTGGGCCAGTTTGGTGCTATTGAACTGAGACAGTGATGTGGTTTCTGCCTTCACCTGAGACGGGATGAGGGGGCGCTGGTGCAGTGCCTGCTGGTGTGGCAGCGAGTGGGCATCTTTTCTGGGTGGCGTGAGGTGGGGTGCTGCCGACGGGCTGAGAGCTGTGGTGGGGGGTGAAGGGAGGGCGGGAGGAGGGGAGGCTACCACCGGGATAGGGATGACTGTGATGGGCATGGTGGGGGGAGGGGGAGGGGGAAGAGGCTGGGCCGGGGCAGCTATGTAGCGATGCTCAGGTCCGGACTCCTCCACCCAGGTCACATGGTTCATTCGAATGGGCTGAGTATAAGAGTTGACTTCTGCTCTCCGCTTCTCCGCCTCCTGTTCACGGCGCCGCCTGTCCTGAAGCTCATTCTCTTCTGTTGAAAGAAATATAGGAAAAAATTCATTAATTATACACATTCAGAAACTATTGGTTCTTCAATGTCACATAAAGATACTTTCATAATACATCTTTATAAGGAATGTACCGATATTCCATTTTTGGCCGATACTTTTTATGAACCAATTATTTTCATGTTATGGCTGTTAACCAATGAATGGCCAGATTTAAAATAATATATTGTTTAAATAAATTAAAAATCAAACACTAAAAATTCATTCGAATTTTAATTTAGGAAGCACAGCATTAGTAATCACAGTACGATAATCTAAATGAACATGAATTTTCATTGATATTTTAGTATTATATATTATATCATAATATTTATTAATATTTTGAATTAGCTTTTATTTTTATACTTTCAGTTTAATTTTAAAATTAAGTTAATTGTTTTGTTATGTAGGTTTTTTCTTTTTTTACATATATTTCTATTTAGCTTTAATTTATTTTATTTCAGTTTTAATCATTTTAGTACTTGAACGTAAATTAGTATTTCAGTTAGTTGCCAAGGCAACATTTCTAATTTCCGTTTATGTTATTTAGGTTGTTTGTCTAATATTTAAATGTTATTTTATTTCAGCCCTATTTAAATTAACAAAAATTATTTTTAAGAGTTTTAATTAACGATAACAACACTGCTTTTAATAACAGTTGATACCATTAAATAAAAAGTCAAAAACTGATACATGATTGTAAATTATTTTTCTAAAATTAAATGAACACTTATTTTATTCAGCGTAGCCGTTTACTCAAAAATACATTACAAATCTGTAAACATCCATCCATTATATCAGTCTATAAACATTCAGGTAACATCTATAACAAAAATACAAGATAATAAATAATCTAAATGGACGTCCTCTCTGTCTGAAGTCTCAGTATGATCCAGTAAACAGTGTTCAAGGAAATGTAAGAGACTGAACTATATTTTAAACACTGCAGGTAGTAACCTTTGACCTCACACATATGATGTGATAACATCTCATCTAAACTAGGGCATATAATGGAGACAAGGCAGCCACAAATCAGTATAGGTCAATAAAGCAGCCTGAGATTATATCTGTCTCCTTTAAAGGAGCTTTTGTGTGTGTGTGTACAGACAAATAAGTGTTATTTTTTAACAAAGTGGGATAGAGACTACACTGTTAGAGCACATTGTGTACAGGCTTCAGGCTAAAGTTTCTCTGGCCTGAATGGAAACACGATTCTTGCCCCCCTTCTACTACAATCCCTTCTTCAGCAGGGCTACTCCAAAACACCACAGGATGGCCTTCTGAACCTTCGCCAAACGTTCAGTATCAATTATACATGCCGTTTCACCCTACTTGACACCGTTTACGAAAAAAGTAGAGACATTGAAGAGACACGCAAACTATTTTTTCACTTAGACAGGAGAACTAGGACTTCCACTGCTGTTCACCAGTAAAGAAATTAAGGAAGTTATGTCTATTTTAGGTGAAAAGATTGCCCCCAGACTGAACATTCAATCACTTTGTTTTTTTCCCAGTTAAATGTTTATCCCAGTTGAATGTGCAAACCCAGGTAACTAAAAGTAACCCATTTGTAGGTCGATTTTCCAGAAAAGTATGTACACACACACACAGAAAAATTAAGGTTTTTGAAAGACATCACTTATGCTCACCAAGTTTACATTTATTTGATAGAAAATACAGTAAAAAAACAGTTATTGTGAAATATTATTACAATCTAAAAAACAGTTTTCTATTTTAATATATTTTATTCCTGTGATGGCAAAGCTGAATTTACAGCAGCCATTACTCCGCATTAACACTGAACTCACCTGATAAATGTATAGGTTTTGCTCAGCTAAAGTACATTTAGATATTAGCTCACTGTTGTGGGGCTGAAGGAGAATGATCCTGATCAGGGGTTTTATGGTTAATCCAAGTCAATTCATTCCAAAAGTTCTCTATACAGGGGCGTTTCCTCGGAGGAGGCAAGGGAGGCAGTGCCTCCTCACAAAATTGGATGAGAAAATAAATAATCCATGTAACAAAAATAAAACAACGCAAATAATACAAAATGTGACATTTAAAACGTCTGCAAATCACCCGTTTCTAATGTAACACTGTCCAACAGCGACACCCGCCGGTTACAGTGGGAGTCCGTGTCTCTCTTGCCTCCCCTGAGCCCATTGAGTTTTAACAGACCCCTTAAAGCATGTGGTGGGTTTGGTGGGTGGGAAATTGAGAATGAACAGGGAAAAGTCAGTGAGAGCAGGCAATGCCTCCATCACGCTATGATTGGTTCGTGCAATAAATCCCGCCTCTTGTTTTTGTGTGTGTTCCGCATTCGCGATTTAGTCTGAATGAACAGACTAGTCTACCTGGGACATCAATTTACATTTGGACTTTACCTCATTTCAGAACTGCAAACCACTGCCCTATATGCATGTCCCTAACCTATCAGCCAATTAATGCCAATTAAAACATTAAAAAATGCCTAATTGTGCAATCTAATGCTACTTGTTTTAAAAATCCTCTTAACGCCCAGGGTAGTAAAGAGGTCACAGGCATATAAGGGTGCCCTAGATAAAATGAAAAAGACACAGGTGTGTGTGTGTGCACCTGGAACATCATGAATCTCATTAGGGTGAAAAGCAGGACAGCATCAAATCATGTGCACTCAGAAGATAATGAGACTTAAGCCAGTCATTCTTATCGTGTGTGTCAGCGAAGGGGTGCTCCAACCTAATCTCAGCGCAGCAATCCACCCCCAACCAGTCACCACTATGCTATTTGAACAGCGCAAGCTGGGGGGGGGGGGGGGGGGGGGGGTGGATGTCTAGTTCCTATGGAACCAAACAACCAATAACCAGAATACACAAGGAAGCACAATACACATGAAAAAGCAAGTCTTTCAAGTCAACATAAGTGAAATGTGACTGTTTGGTCCCTCCCTTATCTGACATTACGAGTAATGTGACATATATATATATATATATACACACACACACACACACTTAATAATAAAACTATATATATTTATAAAATAATAAAACTATATATATATATATATATATATATATATATAGTTTCAGCAAAGCTAGCTTGCATAAACTTCAGGTAGCTTACAACGATGCACTGAGAATTCTGTTGAGAAGACCACGCTGGTGTAGTGCCAGTGAGATGTTTGTGGCTGCAGGTGTTAATACTCTGCAAGCCACATTGAGAAATGTTATGTACAAATGTATATGTTGGCTGAATAACTCAGAGAATTATATAATTGTGGCATTGACCAATATCAAGTTTAGCACTACACGGTATAAGTCCAAGTTATGGAAGCATTGGTATAGTTGTCTCCTCTGAAGTTGTATTTGTTTTTATTATATTGTATTGTATTGTGTGTACTGTCTTGTTTGTTTTATTTGGACCGGTGAGTCTGTAATAAAGTTTTATTATTATTATTATTATTATTATATATATATATAGCTGTCAAATCGATAAAATAGTATCTAACAAAAGTTTTTGTTCACATAATATGTGTGTATATATAAAATATATATATGTGTGTGTGTGTGCGTGGCTGTGTATATATACATAAACACAAAAATATTTTTATATAAATGTATGTGTGTGTGTGGGTATAAACAGAATACACACACACACAGATATATAAGATATATAATATATATATATATACACACATACGCATATACACACACATATTATGTAAACAAAAACTTTTATGTTAGATGCGATTAATCGATTTGACAGCACTGTATATTGTCAGACAAGGAAGAGAAGCCCTCAGGTGTTTCTTTACATAATTCCCATGGACAACACCTGACTGTCCAAAGTATTTTGGTATTCTTATTTAACACCTACAGTGGGCAAAGGGTAACTGCACAAAGGAAATGACTGTCCACCAGTTTGCAATGCAATTTACAGCCCAGCTTAAACTGCTGTCTGAATGCTTTTACCAAGTCACATGCTGAGTAGAATTACAGTCAGCTGTGGTGAAATACAGAAGTGAAACTGACTGAGAAGATTTCTACCACCCGCTTAGACTGGAGTAAAATACACACATGTTAGTAAAAAAATAGAACATTTAGACACTGCCTATGAGAGGCCATTTGCGGTACTTTAGAATAAGCATTTAAGAATACGATATCAAATGAGAAATAGAAAATAAGCTGAAAAATCAATTAAGCAATATGTTTTTATAATTTGTTTGTTTCAAGTTTGTTTTATTTATATAGCACATTTAAAAAAAAATTAAACACAGCTGACCAAAGTAGTGAACAAAGCATTAAACAAAAGAAACACAGGGCAAACCACACATTCATGACAGAAGCTCACAGTGAATTGATAGCAAAGGCTCTATCTCCTCTATAATTTTTATAATTTGGATAAGTAAATAATAATAAGTATTCAATTTGAACGTGCAAAAAGAAAAATATAACAACATTCATCCAGCATGAAAAATAGTTATATATTTTTTTTAATTCAATAAAAAAATGCACAGAGAACTGCCTCCTGACTGGGAGTGGGAAATCAGCAATATCGCAATTATCAATCACTTCATAATAACATACTAAATAAATGTTCTTCAATAAATTCTATACATTTTCAATTATCTTTGACATTATATCAATATCTAAATTGAATGGGTTCTCAATTGATTGGGTGATCCTAAAGCAAACAAGCTTGTCATTCTTTCAGTACTTGGCTAAGAGCAACACGATGATGCAAAAAAATACAGGAGTGCGTACTGTGCGTTATATAACTGCAGTACATTTCGGAAAAGCAAGCAGGGGGTTACTGTCCTACTTTGCCTCTGGTTGTAAACCCCCTCCCTACACAGAGGAGCGCCTGGCGCGCACATGGAGGAGAGGGGGAGGGCTCTGTCCACGCGGTTCTTACAAAAAGGCGTGGCTATGACAGACACGTCAACCGGGCGCTTAAGAGGCGTGGCTACGGCTGACACGTCACCGAGGATCTTCAGAAAGCGCCAGTGGACGCATGCAGCGCGGGAGAGAAAACAATAGTGAGATAAATAAGCCGTACACTATTGCGCAGCAGAACACCATAAGAAAATTAAATAACACATTACATCCATCCCTTCCTACAGAAAGGATGCAGATAAGAGCTGCGTAATGTGATACTTGAGACATTATGTAAAGAGCAACTGGCACTCGCGCACGTACTTGTAAGCCACCGCCCTTAAAATCAAGCAGGTATGTTTCCCTACATCGACACTGTAATTAAATGTTCAATCACTAACTACCCCAACAGTCAAAGCAGATAAACATACATTCTCTGCATTTTAACGCATGGCTGTCACTATGCGAAAAACATCAGTTTACTACACTAGAAAGTAAGCGTAAGGATATTATACTGTAGTTTTGCAGAGTATTGTTATTATCGGATTATTCATAACACAAATCGTGCATGTCACGCACTAACGTTACACCGAATCCTTTAATCACAGCCTGTGACATCACATGCAACAATGTCTCAAATTAACCGGCTACTCCATTAGAGAACAACACTGATTTAGTAAAGTGACCCTCTGCCTGTTATAGAGGACTGCATCCCCATAATTTTCTTTTCTTACCACGTGCTTTCTGTTGTTGCAGGGCTTGCAATTCCAAGAACTTCGCCGCCTCTAAAAGCGTCTCGATACTCATCTCTTTTTCGTGTTATGGTCCAGAAAACGATTGGAGAACTGAATTAAAATGTTAACTAGTTCGGTTCAAAAGCTTCTGCTCGGGATCCAATCTTGTCGTCTATAAAAAAAAATTATAAAAAAAAAAGGAAAGACGTGACTGGATCCCCCTTGAAGTCACTCTTCCACACGCACGTAGAGGAGTCACAACAAGATGGCGGGTTATTCAGTCAACACATCGGGCCATTGTACAGACAGTTTGGCCCCGCCCCCTGATTCAATGACCACGCCCCCACACGCGCTGGTTTTCAAAACACGGAGATGTCCGTTCTTCATAGTAATCGCATATTTTCGTCAAATTTCGACAAAACGCGAACAATTATAAGGTCAGTAATATACGTGTACTGCGACGTTTCTTGTATATTGCTAAAAAGGCCAACACAGAACGCTTAAAATGTGAATGTCAAATCCAGGTTTTACGCAATACTCCTACACATACCACGGCTCAACTTGATTAATAAAACATGAGATTAGAGCAGCCAATAGGAAAGTAGACACACAAGGCATGGTATCTGCTCACATGGGTGTCATTCTGCACGGATTGCACGCGAACTAAAGACGAAAACGCAACCTGCAGACAGACCCATATTCCAACAGCAGGCAACGTGTATCGATAAACAGTCCGCAGTAACATGATTTGCCTGTGACCAAAACACAATTTCTATGAGAAAGAACAAAGATCCACAACAGTTCTGAACACAATATAAGGACTTAAAGGCCGGGATAGTTCACCCAAAAAAGAAAATTCTGTCATCATTTACTCACCCTTATGTTGTACCAAACTTGTATGAGTTTCTTTCTTCTGTTAAATTAAATAGAAGATATTTTGAAGAATGTTGGTAACCAGACAGTTGATGGCACCCATTGATTCCCATAGTAGGAAAAAAAAAATACTATGGAAGTCAATGGGGTCCATCAACTGGGTCCGTCTCCCTACCAACATTCTTCAAAATAGGCTATCTTCTTTTGTGTTCAGATTTCATACAGGTTTGGAACAACACTAGGATGATGACAGAATTTTCTTTTTTTGGCTTAACTATACCTTTAATGTCCTTATAGTGTAGGACAAACCAGTACACCTATATATAAACAGTGTGCGCACACTGCTTTACAGCAATATACAAATCTTAAGTTTTAATATAGCTAAAAAGTAAATGTTTTTGGCCTCACACACTACAACCATTTTCTGTAACCAGAGATATGCAACTTTTCTACGGAAAAAAAATCACCACATCTATCAACATTTATGCCAATAAATAAATAAAGTCCACTTCATGCTGCTGTCCTTTTTCACTGGAGATCCTATCAAAGTACCAGAGAATCTTTTCCCTTGCTGCCATGATACATGCACTGACTGAATAAAGGGCCAGTCATGTGACTGTATCTATGGTAACCGTTGAGGCAGTGTAGCCTACTGCAGGACAGTAGGAGTCTTGAAGAGAAAGAGAGAGCAACCGGTCTGTGACAGAGAGAGAGAGGACAGACAATTATGAATGTTGCAAATGCAATGCATTGATTATATATCACAAAATGGGGGAAGGGTCTATAAATGCACTCTGTTACTAACAACCCCAAAGAGTTAATAAGAACATCTAGACATTTCCAGCAATAATAGTAATACATTTCTAAGCTCCCAGCCACTGAATCTGAACTCTCTTAAACTTTCTCTGCAGTTTCCAACATTCAAACCAATGTATAACATTACAAAAACAGCGGAAAACTTTCTAAAAAACAGCCTTCCACTTAAGATCCAAAATCCTCTGCTTAGTGTTTGACTGCTTTGCATGTCAAGTCATTCTTCCTTTTAATCACTTGAAAAGGTCGAAGCAAAGGGTATGCGAACATGCTCATAAAGCTGCCGCACCTTTATACTTTCATATGACTCTCACATGCATGGCAAACAGTGAATAAATTCCTGTTTCAACTCAAGAAGCTGCCCCTGGAGCTTGTTTACCCTGGGAAACCTTCACGTGACTCTGCATGCATGTTATGTGCTCGTGGTCCGGTCGCTGACTGCTGCTGCTGCTTCCTGTTAGGAAGCCCTGCTCCTCTCGGGACGTTTGTACGGACTCAAACTTCCTGTGATACAACCAAAAAGGCATTCCAGGGACAGGAAATGCTGAGGAACAACATCACCTACTATTGGATTATTTGGGGTTGTCAAAGGAATCAATGGGGCAATCTTTGTCAAACCCAGGTTCAAAAGTTGCAATTCATAAACAAAAAAATAATTAAAAAATGTATCTAAAAGAATATATTTATTTTAATTATTGAAAAAAATGCCAAAGCATTTAAGAAAGTCAAAACATTTATTTTTAACATTCATTTTAATCATATTTTATATTTGATTTAAAATTATTAAACTTATGAGGAATGCTAAATGTTTTGAAAAAAAATCTAAAGGACTTTTTTGTTCAGTAGAAAATTTGGCAAAATAATACAATGTAAATTGTAGATCCATTCACATTTTTTTAAAGTCAGCATGCAATGAAAACTCACTCTAATGCATATTATCTCAGTGTGAACAATTCATTAGTGAATTGTGAATACGATTAATTAAAAAAAAATTTTTTTTTTTACTTTGAAACGTTTAATCAAAATGTCATAACTTAATCTTCCGGTAAAAACAACAGACTTAAGACATTTAAACATTAAATCAACAACCGACAGATAGAACCAAGTCCCTGCCCTACATACATAAGGATGTTCATCACAATATGGAAGAATAAATCTGTCACTACTTAAAAAAAATTGTGATAATATTATTATAGATTATAATATGTAATTGCCAAGTATTAAAGGGATAGTTCACCCAAAAATGAAAAATCTGTCATCATTTTCTCACCCTCAAGTTGTTCCAAACCTGTATGAATTTCTTTCTTCTGTTGAACACAAAGAATATATTTTGAAGAATTTCGGTAACCAAACAGTTAACGGACCCCATTGACTTCCGTAGTGTGTATATATATATATATATATATATATTTTTTTTTTTTTTTCATATTATGGAAGTCACTTGGGTCCATCAACTGTTTGGTTACCGACCTTATCTCCTTTTGTGTTAAGCAGAAGAAAGAAATTCATGCAGGTTCAGAACAACTGCAATAAGTGTTTTTCACTTTTTCTTTCATTAAAAAAAGGAAATAGTACTTCTGAAAAAATATTTAAAATATAAATCTATTTAAAATAAAAACATAATAACATGAATAAAATAAATTACTTTTACCAAAACAAAGACACTAACAAGAAAAATATTTAAAACATTTTTATTACAAACGTGATAAAACTTAGTTCAAACAGGTCTGATCACAACATTGATCAGTGGAACATCTGGTAGTGGGTTTGAAGTTTAGTTTAATTTGCTGCTTTACCAGTGGCTCACAGCATGATGGTCTGTGTTACGTGTTGAATCTGTGTCTGAAGCGTTAGGTGGTTTTGGCTACCTGTCGGAAGAGAGAGTTCTTCAAACAAGTGCAGAGCTGGTTCATCAGATCTTTATTTTGCCCCTCCACCCAATGCATCTCCACCACCACATCATTCTCTTCTTCCTTCACGTTCACCAGGCACTTGAAGAGAAAGTGCTGTACTGTCTCTGGGTTTTGAGGGCCGCCAACAGCCACTTCATTGGGTTCGGTGGGGGATTCCATTGGGACACCTGTCTCCGGGTTGTGCTCCTTCCCGTTGCTGCCCTCTGCTGTGGTTTCCTCTGGTGCTGGAACAGATGGAGTGGAGGTATCCGTGGCGGAGGCCGGTTGTGCTCTGGGGAGCTCGCGTAGATGTCGTCTCTGTTCTCGTCTCTTCTGCCGTGTGTGAACCCAGGTGTTCTCCACTGCTGTCAGGAAGAGGCTGAGCTCCGCCTCTCCACAAGGCACTCGCTTGTGAAGTATCTGAAGATGGGAAGTTCAGTGTTAAACAATTGTGTCAACCACTGTCCATCTGGAAAACCTACAGCGAGTTGATTTGCAGTCGTTCATTGTTTGTTCATGTTACTTCACAGTGCATTAATGTTAACAAATACCACTTTTGATTTGAACAATGTATTAGTAAATGTTGAAATTAACTAACTAGGATTAATAAATACTGTAGAAGTATTGTTCATTCTTAGTTCATGTTAACTAATGAAACCTTACTGTAAAGTGTTACCAATAACATTAATAATTGCAATTATAATAGCATTATTTAATGTAATTATTATTTAATGTAAATTATTTATGAATAATAATTATCATTATTTTTATAACAGAATTTTTTGTGCTTAACTTGCCACTAATCCCTGATAAATTGAATGGAAACACAGCGATGTTTGAAATTGACTCTCTATTCACCTTCAGGTCTGTGAGGATGTTCTCCAGCCAGGCACACACACACTCCGTGGGGCTGACGTCAGTGCAGCCGATGCTGGGCGCCTGCGCCTGTAGCTCCGCCACGGAGGGCTTCAGTACAGTGAAGATGAGGGGCTTACGGGCCTTGTCCAGCTTACGCTTCTTACAGGGGGGCGACTGAGAGAGATTTAGAAAGAAAATTCGTTTTTGTTAGTTAACCTCATGTAAGAGGTCTGTAGGCTTAGAAATACAACACAAAAAAGATGCAATTTTACTTCAAGAATAGCTGGTTGTCAATAGAGGGCAGCAAAACACAAAGTTCACCTTGGCCTTGAGTTCAATGGCCAATACTGTAGAGAGTCCTTGTGGCACTCGTGTTTGTCTGCTGCTGTCAGATGAATAGCACACAGTTTCACGACAAACCCATCAATACCACAATGACAACCCATCAACCCAAACTTGTTTGTGTTTTTTTATATCAGTGTTATTGCTAATGAAAACTAAAAACCCTTAATTGAAATAAAGCTCAAATAAAATAAGTATATTAAATGAAAAATTGACCTTAATAAATTAGAAGTTGAAGTACTAAAATTAGAACTGAAATAGATACAAATTCAAGATAAATAGAAAAAACGTATAATTATAAAAATCACAAAAAGTACATCAAAAATACTAAAACAAAAATATAAAAATTAAAGCTAGTCCAAAATATTAATAAATACTATAAAAGTATATAAATAATACTAAAATAACACTATTTTAGATAAGTTTGAGACTAGTGTAAAACATTAATTTCTTAGTCATTAATTAAAGATTACAATATGATGAAAGTGCCGATTTCTCTGTAAAAATTCTTCTTTACCAGTCTCCATATATTTCTGATTCATATGCCACTGTAATATGAGTGTTAACTGATGTCCGTTTTTTCTTTCGCATATTATGCAAACGAATATATATGAATGAATGAATGAATGCAGTAAATAAGTGTCAACAACATTCATTTTGGCATTATACGTGTTGCCATAGAAAACAATCATTTGCATCTGAACAGCTCAGTGAATTAGTTATCTTGGAGTAATTCATGATGTATAACCACTGAATCATGTTGAACTGAGACATACCACTACACACAGGCGCATTAAACGTGGCGACAGTCATATTTGACTTTTCCAGCTCATCAAAGCTGATTTACGAGCAGAAGAAACCGAAGCATTGCTCCAGTCACATGTCTCTCTCCTCCTCTAACAGAGCATCTGTTGTTAGAGCAGATAAGCGGACAACATGACTCATCACAAGCCAATAGAACGACCCCCTCGGTGCCGAAAAACACACCACACCACACCCATCATCTACTACTGCAGTCATCCATCCGAGTTTACAACTCGCCAGACAGACCCCTCTCATATTTAGTCCTCCCGTGGGTGACTTTTTTTAGACGGATCCATTGTTTCGTGGTTTTTGTGACCGTTAATCCTAATTCAAGACAAATCACACAGGTAATCTGGCATCCATCACAGGATCTTACTCCACTTAACACCCCATTGCTTCTGTCCTGTCAGGATAAAGAACACATTTAGTACACAGTAGACCATACATCTTAACTATCCTCCTCATATTTGATAACTACATTAAGCAGATTCGATTTAGGGACAGTCATCTAGTTATGGTTTCTGAATAACTCCCTGTGCTGAATTGCTGGTTCTACCGTTCGTCAAATTTATCATGTCTCAGCAGACAACAGTTAAATGATGGTTTCATATAGGGTCATTGTCAGGGAGGCGCAACCAGGAGGATGTCACTTGGGGTCCCCTGAACCCTAGTTTGAAAACAAGACATTTTAAGGTAGATAAATGTACAAAATGTATTGAGATAAAAGAAATAAAGAAAATTGTGTCATTAATTACTAGTTTTACGACCTTTTTGAAGTGTCAAGTGGTAGTTGCGTAGCCGTCAATGGAGGGACAGAAATCGCTCCGATTTCATCAAAAAGATCTTCATTTGTGTTCCGAAGATGAACGGAAGACTTACGGGTTTGGAACGACATGAGGGTGAGTAATTGATGACAATTTTTTTCATTTTTGGGTGATCTAAGCCTTTAAGACTATAGCTAAGTTATCATCAACATAAGATATTTAATATGTATTAATATGTTTAATGTGTTAAATTAGCAATAATTTGACATTATTAATGTTTCATTCTAGCGGGAATGAAACATCATAGCATGGCTCATAGCAGGTGGGGAGGATATTGCAACAGTAATACTTCTTTACTAAATTAATACTTTATTCATTTGTTTAATTTTTAGACTACAAATACAATACAAAATATTGTTTTGAATAATAATAAGTAAAAAATTTTTTAAATACTATTTGCAGTAGTAATATATTTCTTTATTGATTTTTCAATAAATTGAATATAATTAAAATTTTCTAAATGATCATTATTATATGTATAGTCATATTGAATGGAGGGAAAAACAGGGTTTCCTTCTTTTTGTCTTTAGCTGATCACATGCCTGATTTTATAAGGCGGTTCCCCTTGCAGTCCAGCATCCTTCTCCAACACACGAGGGCGCCATTTTCTGACTTTCTTCAAGTTGTCAAACTCAGAAGCATGACAAAATCATCCCGCAGACAAAGTAAAATCTATTTAAACAAAAGCAGACCTAAATCCACAAGAATATAAAAAAATATTGCGACTGCAGTAATTCTGTAACGACTACGACGTACTGCGCTAAATCTAAATATGATTCAGTGTTTTGCCTCAGACGTACCGAGCAGGATGTTTTATAGATTGTCAAAAAAGTGCAATCTCTACCCATTTGTGATGAGCACATAATGGATGGAAACAGATGAACACACACATCGATCCACACACTCCCTCTTAATTAATTTCTATCAGTCTTAATCAGGGCGATGCACTGCTTTTATCCCCTCTTCACCGTGAATTATACCCCCCTCCGCTCTGTCCATTATTTATCCGGCGACAGATTTGCTCTAAGTAGGTTGAATAGATCCTGCATAAAATAGCTTCCGCTCTCAACACCGAGCCTCTTGATGCATCTGAAGGGGCCTCGCTCATAAATGTGTAAAAAAAAACAAAACAAATGTTCATGAGCCTTGGGATTTTCTCTGCGCTGAGACGAATAAAAGGTCATTATTCAATTATTGAACACAAGATGAGTGCCGCAATGATCAGCGGTTATCCACGGATGCTGACAACTGGGCTCATTTTGCCCTGCTTTACACTTCCCCCAGTCCTGCCTGCTGACCTTTGACCCCTCAGCCTCAGCCTCCCCCCCCCCGCGCCCCATATCCCGGGCACGCTTTCAGCACCGCAGGGTCCTTTTCAAACCCTACCTTTTTTGTCTGAGTCTTCACTGTACCCCCTACCTCTCGTGCAATACATTTCACTGTCAAAGAGATTGATCTAGCTTCAGTGCGCTCTGCTAATGGGGCTCAGCTGGCTTCCGAGAGGAAGAATGGACACAGGAAGTGGAAAACAGCATGAATGGGAAAGAGGAAATAAAGCACAGAAGTATGCGGGTGCCATCCAGATCTAGACATGTCTGTACAGCCCTGGAAATCTGCTGTATGAGGGCGGAGCAGCTCGCAGACAGATATGTAGGCCAATCTTTCTGCTCAAGTGCTTGTGAGGAAAAGGGCATCTGGGACTTGGGGAATTCTCCTGAAAGACCATAACAAATCATCCCACCACCCCCTTCTCCATCCCCTCAACCCTTTTTTCCCTTTTATAGCTCCATCCGCTCTAAAGTGCGTGACTATACAGCACCGTCACCCTGTCTGGGCAACTGTTGCTAAGAAGGAGGTGCGCCGTGCCTCAGGAAGCAGGTCAAGTGTATCTGATGGAATGGGCTAAAGATGCATTATTAAAAAGAGTGCCGAGCACAGTGAATATTCAGCAGGTATTGCTTTCTCGCGCACAAACACATCAAATAGTCTAGGGTGCATGGGTTATGTGAGGACTAGCGGATTCTAATGCAGGAAGTGCTCAAAGCTTACAGGCACAGGTACGTCATCGTAGAAACTCCAAGCCAGGGCCCAGCGCATGGTCCGACCTTGGCAGAACTCAGTGTGTGTTACTTTGGGAACCTGTGAAAGAACAAAAGATGATGAGGAGCTCAGCAATGGTGATTCAAACTCAAAATAGGCAGATAATCTTACAAAAACCATCAAGAAAAGTCTGGGTTATGTTAGAAAAAACAAAAACAGATTTTGTGTAAAGAAAGGATCATTTTTAGGGGTGCACATTTTCATTATAATAAGCACATTTCTGTATTCTAATCACTGTAAAGTGAAATCTCATTTATCTCCACAATTGTAGATTACAATTGCGGTTATGGGTAATGCAGTATTTGTTTTACATTACAGTAGGTTGCAGATGTCTGGAGGAAGGGGATTAAATATGCTTGATTTTCAAGGATGCAACTGTCACAATGCAAAAAAAGAGAGAGAGATAGGACTGACAGGAAAATTACTTGGGGAAAGATTATGTGGAAGCGTGTATGTGCCGAGTCTATGACCGACACCAGACCCTCCCAGAAGTCTTAAATACAGCATCATAGACCCAGACCTGCCATTCACACAGTGGGGAGTGTGTTTTAACACAGATATGTGGGTGTTAGGGGTGAAACCAAGTCCAACTGCTCTTCAGTAAAAAAAACACACCATATGAGTCTGACCTTTGCAGCCAAAGGGCATATACACAAACAACAGATAATAGCAGAGAAAAAGGAGAGGGGAAAGTGAGAGGGTGAACGAGAATGAGAAAAAGAACCTCATTAGCATATTAATTACAGCCACAGTGGCGAGAGGAGGAAGCGGGCCGTCTCCTGGACGTTGGCCAGGAGCACAATGACTTTAATGAGGGGTGACAGGACTCTGACACCTTCAGATGAATCAAACGACACATCAGGCCTGAGTCGAGCAGACTGACTGACACCAGACTAATAACCTGTGAGCAGGACGAAAGCCTTTCATTCACAGATATCACAGCATTCTGACTGTACAGACACAGGTGGGGGTAATCGAGAGGGGCTGGAGGGGTGACGCGAGAGCTAATGATGCCTAATGAACCAATGAAATCTACTCCATTAGCGCTCCCTGTCGTGGTACGTTTATATGAAACTCATTAAGATCAATTAACCTGAAGTCTAGGGGAAACGCCCTCTCATTTATCTATAAAGATCCTAGAGGAAAATTGTAATACAATTGGGATGCACAATATATTAGTATCATACAAGTTATCATCAGTCAATAAGACAGATTTTTTTAATTTATTGCTATCTGTCGATATTGAATATTTAATTGTGCATGCTCATTTCCCATATTTTTACATTTAGATTACCTTTGTCCTCATCTACCACTCACTTAAATATAATCAATAATTTATAAATAAAATATAAATTTATTAATACATTCAAATGTAAAAAAAAATATTTTTAGCTCATACTAGCATTACATTTACTGGTGGCATTTAAAATGATTGATTTTATTTTATTTTTCATTTATTTACACAAAATAGTATAAAATTTTAAACTGGCCATTTATCAGTTATCAGACATAACATTTTAATTTTAATATCAGTCAATTTATAAATAATATACGCAAAACAGTATGGAACTTTAATATTGGCCATTTATCAGACATTTAATTTTAATATCAGTCCTTTCCGATTTTTTTTCCCAGCATTGCACACTGACTAGAGCACTAAGTGGTCTAAGAAAAACTTACCCCTTGTTTCCGCAGCTCAACTTTCAAAGGTGCCAGGCTACACTTCTTTCCCAGCATGCAACTGTACCACCTGTAGACAGAAAAAAAGGAGTTGTGAAACCACCAGCCTGGACACCTGATCCATGGGAGCACATCAAATAAACCACAGGACTCAAGAGCCGTGGGTTGAATATGGGCTCGCTCTGTGGGAACGGTCAGTTGGGCTACTCTTTATATTTTTAAGATATGAGGCTCAATGTTTAATTAAAAACCCCACTTTGACAGGGAGCTTTGATGTTGCGCATGAGACAAAAATCAATGCATATCCACCATTATAAAAAAAGATGAGGCATCATCAGACAGTGCCCACAGAGAGGAGGAGGATAACACGGTCTATGCATGATTGGTACTCAAATCTTAATTTTTTAGCTCATTTGGTTTCTAAATTGACAGAATCTTGCTTTTAAACACAGAGGAATACCTTAAAGGTCAACATGAAGAGATTTTATGTCTGTAATGTGACATTTATGAGTTAAAACAGGATATTTAATGAGTAAATGTAGGGCAAGATTTTATTTTATTCATCAGGAATAGATTAGGTTGTGGAAAGTGGGTGTTACATATCAAAATATAGCCAGACGTAAACACAAATTTGTTCGTTATAGAGGACAGACAGATGGCACTCATTTTAATGAGTATTGTGGGCAGAACATGGTGGCTGAAGGTCAAGTTCACTATCAAGTGCATTTTAATGGTAACATATCTTCCTCAAATCCATCGTTATTTCTATTAGTGCCGTAACTTTTATGACATTACCGACAATATACATTATTTCATCCATTACTGAATGCATTTTGAATGATTAATGTGTAAGATACAATAAATCTATTACATTTTAATCAACATTTTGATCATTCTTTTATATATATATGTTATACATGCAGCTTTTATGAGTTCATATAATTTAAAAACTATATTTACAATTTTAAATTATTGATACATTTAATTAATATATATAGTTCATGGATATTATACATATTTTTCATGGATTGTATACAATGTTAAAAAAGTAATGGCATGTGGTTTTTAAAGCCACTAACACTCGAGGCTTTTTTTCCCAAAGAATAAGGCAGAAAATATATTTTATAATAAAGGTTATGTCAAGTAGCATGGCATTATTTGTTTAATTTATTGTTATGAAAATACCCAGAGATGGCTTCAAAAACACAAACCATATATTGTTGTAATCGTGTGTTTATTGTCTTCAGATTTCATCAGTCAAAACACTTCTGCTTTTTATTCAGCTACTGGATGCCGTTGTCCATATAAGGGGTTTCTTGAAACGGTTATTACTTCTGTGAGTACGTTTTAGACTTTCTGCGTGAGGGCGCCCTCCGGCTTCTAGTATGAGTGAAACAGACATAAAATAAGAGTGTTTAGTGCTCCATGCTTACATTGCCTCATTTTGGATACGAATAAAACATACTCTAAAACATAGACTATCTTGTCTCTTTGAATTTAAATCGAGACATTCACATTGGCCCATGAAAACCTCTACGTGAACCTACTTGACCGGAAAAAGTAAGAATTTACATTTTATTAAAAGCTCAAAACGTTTGAGTAACATTAGCATATTAAACCATAGCGTGTGTGGTCAAGCTGACGTCACTAAAAAGTCAAATAGTTTCAGAGGTGGAACAAGTTACAATTACAGACAACATTTTTTCTTAAAGGGGTCATATAATGCCATTTTCATACAAGTTAATTTGATTCTTTAGGGTCTAAATGAAAAGTTTGTAATATACTTTAATTCAAAATTCTCATTAGTATTGAAAGGAAGGTCTGTTTTCAGCACGCCGTTTCAGTGCATATGCCTTTAAATGATAATGAGCTTCGCTCACTCCGCCCCTCTGTTCTGCTGGCGTTTTGACAACGCACGTGGAGTGTTGCCTTGACAACAGTTGAGGGTATATTTTGGAGAGAGAATGGCAGCGGGAGTCTCTGAGGACACATCTGTGCAATTGTATCAGTTTGAACCGGAGTCGGACCCGGAACAAGATGACGGCCGCAAAGAAGTTCGACAATTAAGGCTCGAACAGGACGTTTCTGAATGGTTGGTTAACAATGTCACTTTGATATATCTATGTATGTAACGTTACTGGCAGGGTAGAGTAGTGAGATACGAACGCTATGTGTTTACTGATGTATACGTACTCAGTTTGTAATAACACAATAACCATAACGCGTTGTTCATTATAAACGTGGGATTATGAATTACTAGTGCAAAATGCCCGTGCAAAATAATTTTTTTGTGTGTGTTTTTAGCAATTGTTGGTTTGGTGTGTTTGAGTGCTCATTGTTACAATTACACAGCAAAAGTTCGGTGACATTTTTATTTGTGCATGGTTGAAAGCAAATACTGATACTGACATAATGACATACAATAAATATGGAAAATTGATCCTATTTATTTTGCATTAGCATGAAGCTGCAGCTTCAAAATGCATGAATTACACTTACGATTAACAGTTAAATGCTGCAAATATTTTTTTCTTACACTTGAAGGGCGATTTACACCTTTACAAATCTTCTCTTGCACATGCAAATTTAATTTACGCTTGCAATCTTATGTACGCTTTCACAAATCTTACCCTGTGCATGCGATTCTTTATGTCATCATTTTACCTTCATAGATTTGCTGTCACACGATCGGTAAGAGGATTACTATACTCGTTAAGCTCGTTAAAGCCTGCTATATACTGTTGAATAGGCAGGGAAACTATTTACCATAGCATATTAAACATCACATAGTTAACATAGCACATTAAACAGCACATAGTTAACATATACATGCTAACTTCAGCGCGCATGACACATGACGTTAATAGCATTTACTACAAATGATGGCCATGAAAGAGACTGCGAACGCATTAAATATAATATTAAGAAGTAAACAGCGTAGCTGACTTACAGATTCAGTTAACAAATGAATAAGCGCGACGATTCAGGGAGCAAATCTGCTTTCTTCGTCCCTCTGTCTCTGGTCCTGCGCTGTGCTCACTCAGTGTGCAGTGTGAGAGGGGGAGTGGCCAGCGGCTAGAGCGGCAAAAACCAATGTGTGCTTCTTTTAGCGATATCTTTTGCATTTCTAATCCAAACAACGTCAAACTCGGCACTGCACTTACTCGTGCCCGTAGCAAGACACCTGTCAAGTTTGAGATCCATCGGACTAACGGTTCGAGAGATATGCGATTAACAGACAGACACACACACACACAGACAGACAGACGTTCCTGTAATTTATAGATAGATATTGAGAACGTCGTATATAAAACATGCTGTAATGTACCCTGAGTGTATTGTTAAACCTTAGCCGCATTCATCGTGAAACGTGCTAGCAATTTGCAAAGATTAATATAAAATATACAATTTTACACTCATTTCTTCTGGAGGTGCAGCAGGGACATGAATAGTTGGTACCGATTCTTTTTTCAGGAGCAGCTTCTTAGCTGACCCTTGTTTATAAAGCAGTCTGGTGAGAAATGATTCGCGAATCACGCAAACGTGAAAGCAGTGACGTTGCTCGTGGGGAATATTCCCTTCGAAAAACAAAACTCAGCCACTGCGTCTTCAGCGGTTCGGATTTAGGAACATCAAAATGACTTTGTTTGTTATTACACCCAAGAACAGAACACCACAATCGCCTAGACGCCATTCTGCTCCAGCGTATCAACAATGACGGACTATGATGACAGCTCGCTCAGGGCTGGTCTGTGTTGAAACCTTTTACAGTCTATGGTTGAAACGCTGCTGTCAATCAACAATCGTGCGAGGGGCGTCCGTTTTATTGACGTCACAAAAACGAACGGCTCAATTTGAGGCAGGGGAAAACATATAAGGAGATTAAAACAAAAACACTGGATAGATTTTTTATCATTATATGATGGTTGTGTACAGACACTGCCAACACACATTTCAGTACAATCAACTTGAAAAAGTGCATGTACCATTATATGACCCCTTTAAGAAAACGCTCGGATGAATTGTGCACTAAAGACCTGAAAAAAAGTACACAGGACCAATTCTAACTCCATGCTGACTTTACCAACTAACAGACAGTCGTGTAAAGACTCTACTGCTGTAGACTGACTTTTGTTGGGTGGCGGTTTTGGTTTATCAAGGGACAATCTAGCACAAGAATGAAGGAGCATAGATGAACACACATTACACTGCATATGGAGCCTTAGGGGCCTGACAATCGTTTCATTTTGTGTGATGAAATATTAAAGAGCCCTAAAATCCACACATGTTCTCCAAACTGGAGTGGAGGGAGGATGTGTGGCACCCCGGCACATGGCACGCTCCGTTAATAATGGGGTACTACAGCATCTATCAGGGCTTGAAAAGGGGGTGTTTACTCGTTTTCTTTAGTTATCAGGCCCTGAGGAGGAAGTAGTAACAATTACAATTTCAATAGCACAGATTGTTTGGCATGAGGAAAAATCAGAGTTGTATTTAGGATGTAAGCGAGACAGGAGGGGCTGGAGGAAGACTGGCAGTAATTACAGATCTGAGGGGCTGGAGAGGAAGAAGCATCTCGGAGGGCCAATCAGAATGCCTGGCTGGCTCTACGGGCACCTGCTGACGCACACACACACACCGCTTTTACGACAGTCTGCTTGCATAGTCTGAACCCATGAGAGAGGGAGCTAGTAACAGCGAGATGGAATAGAGCACAGCTTTCCCTGCGGTCACCAGTCAATTCTCAACACATGCAGAAGATGCATAAAACACACAAATGTTTAAAACTACAAGTGATATCTCATGTAAACAGTGAAAATTAAAAGATACCATTCAACTTTTCTATACACACACACACAGCCACGTTCCTCTCGTTCCTCAGCTCATGACGTGGTTAATCAGGCCTAATGTTGGTTGCTCTCCCGCCCCTCCGCCTCACTCCAGCCCTCCACTGACAGTCCTGGCACGGGGGGGCTCGTCGTCTGCCCCAGTCACATACACAGCTGCTCCCGTCGGGTGGCCCGGATACCGCCTCGGGTAATTATTTACTTTCCCTGTCAATTAATTACGCAAACTCTGTATGACAGAGCCATCCTAGGATCCATCTGCCCTACCCCTTTCATCAGCGTGGCCCCTTCCTCTCTTTGGCTCTCTCAGCATAAAACATCTCCTCTGCAGACCTGGACACACGTGGCTGTTTATTCCCTTCTAATTACGCTCCTCACAGTCCCTCATGTGTTGACATTTGTGCCAAACTGATATATCAGTTGCTATTTGGCCATTTTGAGAATTAATAGAAGGCCATTTTGGATGATTAACAGAAGTTTGAGTTTCATAGTGCACATTTACTGTTTAAGAAAATGTCTGAATGAATATTGTGTCAAATATATATATATATATATATATATATATTAGGGCTGTCAAACGATTAATCGCGATTAATCATTTGACAGCCCTAATATATATATAACTATTCAAAAGTCTTAGGCACGTTAGTATTTTCACCAGAATAAATTGGTTTTAAGCCAGTTATTTATATCTTTTGCTCTAGTCTGTCAATAGGAAATATCAGTTTACATTTACAAATATTTATTTTGCCATTAATTGTAGTAATCCAGGGAGATATTTGTATGCACAAGGAGTCTGACAACAGCCGGTATGATCCACACTGAGATCTGATCTCACCATCATCGAATCTGTCTTTGATTATATATAAAAAAAACAAAAAAACTGAGACACTTGGGCGATATGGCAAAAACCATTTTCCGTCAAGATCACGATCCACGATCTTATCACAATTCTTTTTCAATTCTTTTTTTTTTTTTTACCAGCAAGAATTGGTTATGTGCCCATGTGTTTATTCTTGCCCTACAACTGGAATAAACTACCAGAAGAACATGCCCCAAACGTATCGATTTTTAAATCCTTCTTTTTTCACGTGCCTATGACTGAGCACTTAAACCTAACCACACTGTTTAACCTTATAGCTTCCTATGTTTTTATACCATTTTTAATCTTTATTTGTATTCTTATGATGCTTTCATTTGTTTTGAAATAATATTTTTTCTTTTTCTTTGTTAAGCACATTGAATTGCTTCGATGTATGAATTGTGCTATATAAATAAATTTGCTTGCTTGCTGTCACTTTAAGAAAGTACTCCTAATGTCCTAATGTCAGTGGACACCTGTCCACAGAATCTGTATCTTCCATTCTAACCTGTCCACCACCATGGGCAATACCAAAGAGCTGTCAAACGTCAGGGACCAGATTGTAGACCTGCACAAGGCTGGAATGGGTTACAAGACCATCAGCAAGAAGCTTGATGAGAAGGAGACTTTTGTTGGTGTGATTATTCAGAAATGGAAGAAATACAAAATGAAAAATCAATCGCCCTCGGTCTGTAGCTCCATGCAAGATCTCGCCTAATGGGGTACGGATGATCATGAGAAAGGTGAGGGATCAGCCCAGAACTACACAGGAGGAGCATGTTAATGATCTCAAGGCAGGTGGGACCACAGTCACCAAGCAAACCATTGGTAACACTACGCCACAATGGATTGAAATCCTGCAGCGCCCGCAAAGTCCCCCTGCTCAAGAAGGTACATGTACAGCCCCATCTGAAGTTTGCCAATGAACATCTAATGATTCAGAGACGGCTTGGGAGGAAGTGCTGTGGTCAGATGAGACCAAAATTGAGCTTTTAGGCATCAACTCAACTCGCCGTGTTTGGAGGGAGAGAAATACTGACTATGACCCCGAGAACACCATCCCTACAATCAAGCACAGGGGTGGAAACATTATGCTCTGTGACTGTTTCTCTGGTAAGGGTACAGGACAACTTGGGGCCGATAGACGGGGCCATGTACCGTCAAATCTTGGATGAGAACCTCCTTCCTTCAGCCAGAACACTGAAGATGGGTCATCGATGGGTCTTCCAGCATGACAATGACCCAAAACATACCGCCAAGGCAACAAAGGAGTGGCTCAAGAAGAAGCACATTAAGGTCTTGGAGTGGCCTAGCCAGTCTCCAGACCTTAATCATATAGAAAATCTGTGGAGGGAGCCGAAACTTTGAGTTGCCAAGCGACAGCCAAGAAACCTTAAGGGTTTAGACAGGATCTGTAAAGAGAAATGGACCAAAATCCCTTCTGAGATGTGTGAAAACCTGGTGACCAACAACAAGAAACGTCTTACCTCTGTGCTTGCCAATAAAGGTTTCTCCACCAAGTACTAAGGCATGTTTTGCTTGGGGATCAAATACTTATTTCACTTACTGAAATGCAAATCAATTTATAACCTTTATATAATGTATTTTTTCTGGATTTTTTTGGTTGATATTCTGTCTCTATCCATTAAAATAAACCTACCATAAAAATTATAGACCCTTAATTTCTTTGTAAGAGGGCGAACTTACAAAATCAGCAGGTGATCAAATAATTAATTCCCCCATTGTATATTTATATATATAGCAGTTTTAACTATACTTTTTATTTGGGGTGGTCCTTATTGTGATTGTGTGTGTGTGTGTGTGTGTGACCTAAGCCTCTTCTTTAGTTGCAGACTGTCATGGATGATCCTTTTCACAAACTCCAGCTCTCCACCCTCTGCCATGATCTCAGTGACACCCCCTGTGTTGATGGAGCTGGGCGGAGGTCTGCGGGAGTTTCTCGAATTCACCCCCTGACGGAGATGACAGAAAAGAGGGGAAGAAACAGAAGAATGAATGGATAACAGCTATTGTCATGTGCACAAAGAGATAGATACTGCTGGAAGGGGGGGTAATGTCTGTTGAAACACTGGAGCTGAATGTACCTTTGCTTCTAACTGATTGGCAAAGAAAGGAGGATTGCACATGCAGAAATCGTAGACAATGGATTCTTCCTTTAGCGCATCCATCAGCAGAGTCTTTTGGGGCACCTTTACCACTGCAACACACACATTTATGCGGTTCAGTGGGTTAAATTACATATAAAACTGTCAAGCTCTCTCACTGCATCACACACAAACCATACCTACCTTTAATGAGCTCTGCCAGGTGGTTTTGCTCAACGTTCTTCTTCGCATAATTAAAGCAGATGTCATCCACTTCTGTGGCGAGGAAGAACCAGCCATTCATTGTGGCTCCCAGAAGGGGGTAAATACAGGAAGCACCCGTACCTGCACACAGCCAAAACCCATCATATCACAAGCTTAAATACAAATGAAATATGATCTGCCTGAGTCTTTACCTAAACATATTCTTCATGTGGTGACGACACTTCAGATCAAAAGTGCGATTCAAAAAAATTGTGAATACTTATTATTGTATCAAAACTGAGCACAGATTGAGGGAGCATTCTGAGTCTAGTTAACAGGAATGAGTATTCAGTGTGCAACATATTAGTTCATTAAATTTGTCATCTAGGAAAGGAGAAATCAGATGTAATATTAATACTCCTAGCTGTATTTCCGGATGTTGATAAAAAATATATAAAAAAAAAATCCAATATAATAAATAAAAAATCCAATCAAATATTATTAAATACAAAATACAGTACAATACACCCTGAATAAATACCTGAACCATTTACATATAAAAATATGAACATAATTCATTATGATGAGTCAGCTCTACTAGAAATGTTGTGCTTTGATGCATGCAGATATTTTTGTAATTTTCGCTGCATAACATATGGAATTAAACAAAAAGTACAATAGCAATTCCAAACGAAATTGTTACACAAACATAATTTTACTACTAAACGTTAGGACTCTCAAGTAAGTATTAGTATGATAATATGAAGTGCAAGCGACTGCCTGACAGAGTAACGTATGAAAATAATACAGTTAGACGGAGGCAGGACAGCTAAGGCCATCCATTATCCAGTCAGCAGGCCTTAAAATGGACTGAAATTTAGCAGAACAGAGCAAAGATGAGACCCATAAGGTCGGAATAAAATAGATTTGGGGTTATTCATCATGTGTGTGACACTAACACCACTAATCTCATCCCAGAGTTGAAAAAGGTCTTCCATCTGCAATCTAACCCAATCAGCAGAGCCACAACTATATCACTCACACAATCTGACACAACGGCCAAAGACGTCCATCTGAATATGTATGGATGCAACACCAATGCTTTCAAGGAGACAAAATAAAACTTTTCAGAGACTTTTCCGTAAATAGCTGACAACCGTAAATTAAAGGCTGCATGCTAATCACAGCTCCGCCGCAAAAAATATCCAAACTAAAAAATGTATATATGCTAATGAATTATGAATATTGATAGACAATTTTAATACATAAGATATTTGTATCATTATTATATTCTTGTTTTTATTTTATTACACACACACATATACAAATATATGTATATATATTAATTATTTCTAAAAATATATAAGTCTTAATATATTATATTTCATCTCTCGACAATTGTGTCCCATCTATACTGAAAACAACAGTAAACATGGACAGTTGCTAAAGTATTTAGAGAGACAGGACAGAGAGGATGGATGTGATGATGATGGTGGTGGAGTGGAATATTTTAATCCAGAGGATCTGGTGGCATGCGACTGCCAGCACTGTCTTACTCTCCTCCAGCCTGTGTGTGTGTGTGCAAACCAATAAGCAGCACCTGCCAAACCCCGTTCCACCAGCCTGTGGGACCGCAAAGAGCTTTAACAGGATAACACCAGTGAGTCTGAGCTGGCATACCAATGTCGATGCCCCTCCGTGGGTTCCCCTGTCCCCCAATCAGGTCCTCCACCCAGTGGATGTAGTTAAGGCGGAGCGGCACAGTGGGGATGAGCCGTTCCAGAGGGATCTCGATGGTTAGGCCAAAATCCTCTTTCAGCAGGGTGCATGTGAGAGCCCGAACAGCCTCCGGGTCTTTAAAGTTGAGCCTGTGGAAGGGATGAGGTTTAGTGGGGGGTAATAGACAGAAAAGTACAGGGAGGGGTCAGCTAATAGCCATTCTTAAAAACACACCACATAGCCTCTTCTCAATTCATTAGTGCTGAATGAAACCATGCAGAGAAACACAATGAAGCACCAGCTGCAGTTGGTTTGCAAAAATGTATTAACTCTTTCCCAGCCATAGACATACATGGCACATGTTTTCATGGCAGGGAAAGAGTTAATGTAAGAAATGCCTTCATAACTCAGCTCTGCATTTTAAATATTTTTTTTTTGCAAAAAAATGTATTTTATGAGTTTTTCACATTATTTTTCAAATTTTATATATATATATATATACGAATAGAAATATATTACTAGATAGAGATAGAAATTATTTTTAATAGAAAAATATAATGCATCTATTTAGTAGGAAAATGTGATAATTGATTTATGACTTTGCATAGGTGCTGCAAAGCAGATGTGTGTTGTAAGTGTACCTCCTTGGAATTGTAATTTGATTTGTGTTGATAAGGGGCAGATATTATAAGTTTATCTTCTTTTTGCTCCTTTTCATTTCTTTTCAAAAGAATGAAATAAAAAAATATGAATGAATGAATGAATGAATATATATATATATATATATATATATATATATATCAGCTTTAATGCACTTATCAAAATGACAAAAGCAGTCAAATGCCTGTTTTGATGACAAAAAGAAATATTCTTGCAATCTGTGGAAAATTTTGTTTTCTCAAAATCTTTAATTTACTGTCACTGTTTGAATGTAGTAAAACACCCACAGATGTAGCAGAAAACATCTGGATCATGTTTGCATTTTCTTCTGTCACTGGCCATAATTATAACCTTGAAATCAGGATTAGACATACAATATGTCATACGTGCAAAAATCAGCTGAGTATTGAACAAAAAGTTCTAGCCTGGCTCAGAGGAAGATTGGAATCATGTTTTTGTGACAGCCCTTCCCTTTACCTTACAAATGGTTGTCGAAAACAAAAATGCTACAAAATGCACATAATATTTTGTGGGAAAGTGATGTGGTAGAGCAAAATGCACTATTTTTGGAATCATCAACAACAAAAAAACTATTGGATTTCATTCAGCAAAAATGATGTAATCATCACCAAGATTAGTCCTATTCACTCTAAATTCTTAATGTACATCTTAAAGCATTCAGAGGTGGTAATGTCACGTTTCTGTGGTTATAAAAGCGAGGAGGGTGAGAGGTGTAATTAGGGTGCTTTCGTACACTCACACCTCTATAGATGTAATTAAACGCTCCATGCAGCAGTCCATGTCTGACACCTCTGAAGGGAAGCAAGATGTGCATGTTAGCCCTGCGTGGCTATGATGCTGTGGAACAAAGCCATGGTGTGTGAAATGCTATTTTGCAGAGCCTTTAAAAACACCTGCACCCCACCCTAAGCTTCAGAGCTCTCATCACAAAAGGGCTATGCGACATTAAGGAGAGAATTTGTGGCTGTACTAGACTTAAAGGGATGCATGTGAAAGCATTATGAAATTAGAAAAAGTACTTTAGCCCAAAACAGCCTGATGATTGTGATATTACATTTGACGTAAATATGTTAAAGATGGAAATGTCAATGTGCAAGAAAAAAAAAAAAAAGCAAATCTTTTTGGCTACTCATTGGGATGTATAGCCGATTGCTGGTAGGCCAGAGGAAGATAGCAGTCAAGTTTTATGAAATGGTTAGACCCTGGTGAGAAGCTGTGGTTGAGGAAGAGTTTTTTTTTAATGTTGAGGAATATGATACTCCAAAAAAAAAGACAATTGATATGACAATCAGGTTTAAAGCTTATAAGATGTGTGGGACAACCTAAAACCACTGACAGCTTAATAGCATTGGCTGATAACTGTGGAAATAAAATCAACAACCATTATAAATCTTATTAAAGGATATAACTATAATGCATACACATATATAATGGTGTCCAAAGTCTAAAACTACCAGATTATGAATATATATATATAAAAAAACAAAATTAACATTTTATTAAATGATTTAATGTTTTTAAAAGAAGTCGCTTATCCTCACCAAGGCTGCATTTATTTGATGAAATCATCCAGTAAATATGCTGAAGTCAAAATGTTTCCTAAATCACCACTTTGGAGATGAATTTAAAATCACTAGTGCATGCATGGAGAAGGCTCTGAGATAGTGTAATATTCGTTCTGATGATGGAAAAGAATTATGTAGTTATGCAAACTATTCTCAAAGGGTGCTGCATATATGCGCTAGCAATTTGAAATGTATCTCCAAGGTGGTGGTTTAGGAGACGTTTCGCTTCAGCATAACTTCTGCTTGCGTTCATGTAGAGACAGCTTCGAATTAGTTCCCTAGTTCGGCTGTGGTCTACCGCTCTAGATAATACAATCAGTTTTGGCTGCTATTTGTTTTCTCCTCATGAATGGCCTATATTCCAGAGGATCACCACTGAAAACTGGAATCTCCCTTGTAGGAAGTGAGACTTGTTTCTGCTGGGTCACAAATAGATCAGCCAGATTGCATTGTCTTTGCAGGACAGGACCGAGATCAATACTAGTAATGTTAGAATTTCTAGTACTGTGCTGGTTATCTATCCTCTGCTGGCCAGTTTGTGTCATTGTGAGTGTAGTTGCTGTTTGATTAGAAGTAAGTTTCGAAGCATTTTGAGTTCCATGGACGATCCTTTTTAGTGGTGCTTTAGGAATTGTTCTAATCTAGAGATGCACCGATCACAATTTTCTAGGCCGATTCCGATTTCCATTGAGTTTGACCTGCCAATACCGATTTTATTTTTTCTAACCACTTTTTTATTTTTAATAACACAAATATTTATTTTCTATATATTTTTTTATTTATAAAACACCATATACTTTTACCCAAACTGAATAATAAAAACAAGTTTAAATGGGTAAATTTTCTATAAATATTTTCTATAAAGATTCTTCATTTTAATTTCTGACATAGCCTACTCCAGTTCTTGTTAAAACACACTAGACATGCAAATTCTGTGCATTTTGGGCACTTTTTGTGTGAAATCATATTTATTCTGTCCATCAAAAGTGTGCTTTCACTTTAATTGAGCGTGAGCATCGCAGCAAAAATAGACTCGGCGTCGAAACCGCTTCACTGCTGCTCATGCGACGCTCCTGCTCGACGTTCACGCGCGGCTCCTGCTCCCGGTGTGAATGCACTCGTTGATTAACATGCACCCCGAAAAAAATGCGCGCCGCACACGTTTGCGGTGTGAAACGGCCGTAATTCACAAGGTTTCCTACATGTGCGTTCTGTGCGCACGTGTGATGCTGATGTTGCACGATGTTAATCATGCGCCGCCCGAGTGCATTTTGACCGGCATAAAATCGGCATGTCAGACTGACCGGCCGGTCGCCGATCATGGCCGATCACGTGAAAATCGGCCAATTCCGGTCACCAGCCGATCAATCGGTGCATCTCTATTCTAATCCTTTTGAAATGTAAAGGAGATGGTTCAGATTCAGAATCAATGAGAAAATATGATTTTTCTTCCAAAACTTTTTCCAGGTATTAATAAATTCATAGCATCTCTTATTATTTTGAGAGATGTGTGGGAACAGTGCAGTAAACTTACTTCAGAAGCAATGAGATGGATTTAAAATAGCTAGTGCGTACATGAAGAAGGCTCTGAGATGGGGTAACTTGATGGGAAAGCATTATTTAGCTATATGCAATCTATCTCAGAGGGTACTGCAATGCAGCACAAGATCTGGCTAATATGGCAGAGCTAAATTTACCATTCAATCTAATAATGATTGTCTCTAGGTTTCCTTACAAGCGAAGAGAAAAATGGAGATCTACAGACTGTGAAATTCTGGAATGTTCTCAAAAAAGGCCAGACTTTACTGACTTGGTAGCTTTCATTGAGAAAGAAGCGAATATTCTTTTAGGCCCAGTCTAGACCTAGGATTCAAGATCCTAAAACAAATTCAAATGTCATAAAGACAATGCCCAAACAGTCAGTCATACAAGTCTACTAGTAGGAAAGGTTATTACTACTGTTACTCCCATTGAGGCATCAAAATTGTCAGGATGATGCACAAGCTGCATTTAATAATCCTAGTCACTTTTGCTCTTATGATCATGCAATGGAATCTTGTGTCAAAATGGCAAAAATATCACAGGAGGATAAGACTGAATTCTTAAGAAGAAATGGTCTTTGTTTTGTTTGCCTCAAAAAAGGACATCTGACAAAAGCTTGCATAATGCATCTCACCTGCCAAATATGCTTTAAGAAACATCCTTTGGTGTTGCACATCAGAAACACTTAATTTAATGGAGGCTCACCTAATCCACTAACTGACGTGCACAAGAAAAAGGACAATACTACAAAAGTTACATACATGGCTGTGGTAGCTATAGATCATAAAGGGGCCGGCACAGCCGATTGTAAACTTGCAATCATACCAGTAAAAGTGAAAGCCTTTTTTTAAAAGTGAAAGAGTGTTTAAGACATATGCGTTTTTAAACCCTGGAAGCTCAGCCACAATCTGAGACACCTGAATATAGCTGGCAAACGAGAGATTTTGCTCAGAACAATGGGGCAGGAGAATCCAATAAAAACCTTTAGGTTGAGTAGCTTAGAAGTAAGCAGACTGGATAGCAACTACTTCATAGAACTGGCCAAAAATTTCACACAAGGGTCAATTCCTGTTGGTCTGGAGAATATACACAGGGAATAGGATATGAAGAAATGGCCATATCTGAAAGATGTTCAACTGGCAACCCTACCCACAGATGCACAGGGACAACCATTCGTGTCCTCTAATGGAATCTCAGTGGCTAAACTGAATGAATTACTTAAGGAACAGTACAATAACTCAGAACTCAGAGTACTCAGAACAAGCTTACAATGAGAAACCTGAACTTTCCTTTAAGCACAAAAGATTCCTGGAAATTGTGAATAACTCCATTGAGAAACAAGATGACCATTACCAGATAAA